CCCCCCCCTTTACCTTCTGCATCCTGTAGTGCCCTCCGCCTCCTCCGCCAGTGCCACACCACCACCATGGTCACTATATGGCCGGCCACCACCAGGGTGGGGAATAGGCTGGGGCTGGACTGGTTCATGTCCTAAGCTTGAGAGCCCAGAGCCGGCACTGGGACAATGTCAGCTGTCCTCCTCCTCCCTCTTCCTCCTCCCCGTCTCAGCCTGAGGATCCACCCCTACCCTGCCAGAGTGTGTGTGCATGCCCATATCCTGCCACCGCCTCCACCTGAACACCGCTACTACTACTGTACCCACCATCACTGCCAGAGCATCCACCCCTACCCTGCCAGAGTGTGTGTGCGTGCCCATATCCTGCCACCGCCTCCACCTGAACACCGCTACTACTACTGTACCCACCATCACTGCCAGAGCATCCACCCCTACCCTGCCAGAGTGTGTGTGCGTGCCCATATCCTGCCACCGCCTCCACCTGAACACCGCTACTACTACTGTACCCACCATCACTGCCAGAGCATCCACCCCTACCCTGCCAGAGTGTGTGTGCGTGCCCATATCCTGCCACCGCCTCCACCTGAACACCGCTACTACTACTGTACCCACCATCACTGCCAGAGCATCCACCCCCTACCCTGCCAGAGTGTATACTCTGCTACTACTACTGTACCCACCATCACTGCCTGCCCCTCTATGGTATTACCACCCTCAGCATCCCTCCCTGCATTTTCACTGTACCATCAACCCCACAATCACTCCCTGACCTGTACTACCACCTCCACCATCCTTTGACTGGACCATCCAGTGTGGGGGACAGGTACCGGCTCTGCAGACTCCCGCTGTCACTGTTGTCTCTCATCCATCCATCCACCCATCCGTCCACACAATACAACCGTCCATCCATCAATCAACTCTCCCACCATCCGTCTCAATTACCTATCCACTGAACACCGGGTCAGAACCCGAGGCCACCCAGGACACACTTCCCCCCTGCAGGGCCTGGTCTTCATTAGGCTCCCAGCTTAGATCACCCTCAAGGTTATTTCACCTCCCGGTGACCGGCTGGTAATTGCTCTGCTCTGACAGAGCCTCCGGCCAGCAGTTTTGGGGTTAATCTCATGTTGTGACAAGCTGCGCCATGTTTAAAGTGACATTTGAAGGCCCCGTGACGGAGGAGACAGTAGAAGGTGACACCTGTTCCCCTTCATTCCAGAAGTCACTGCCAACGGCTATTCAACAGAAGATATCATTTGT